ATCATAAAGCCTGCCATTTGATATAAATAAATAAATAAATGATTTCGAAGTCATCTAACTCTATTGTGCCTATTAGTCTTAGTAGATAAATTTATCAAACAAGGGATATTCCACTTCGCTGTGCTATTTTTATGCTTACTCGGCTTAAAATACTTCGAAATGGAAAGGAAATAATAATTAAATAAAACAAAAAAATTTTAAGTTTCTTTGAAAAACCATTCAGTGGCTTTTTTCTCTTGGAAAGAAAACTTTTCTCTAGTAAATCAGCCAAACATCGGTGCAAAAAGCATAAAATGAAGAATTTGGAACTACCAGGAAGACTAATTGAATTAGTTTCACAGGGAGTAAGAAAGTTACTTCGTATGCTTCGAGAGGCACTAATCTCCAAGCTTATCTGGGATTAAGAACAAATCAGACTTAAAAATGTTCTTCCATAAAATTAATGCTTTTTGTTAACGGGTAGTGGACTAACCTTTCCGGAATAAGAAGGTCAAACAGGAATGATTAAGCCCATTGATAATGGAAGGAAGAATGGATAAAAATGAAGAACCTATGGAGTAAAAATGGAAAAAAGCATCTCAATAAAGTTTTCTATCACCTTAAAATGCCTGCTCTACATTCACCGCTGGGACCTACTTTTCTGAGACCTATTTGGTAAATGCCAAGATTTTGGTAGTCAAAAATATTCAAAACAGTGCCCTTAAACCTGTCTCAACTTAACCAAGATCTGTCTCTTTGTAGTTAAGAGAGGGATTTTCGGTGGTAAGTTGGAATTCGAAATTACGATTGAATGAAAATGAATGAAAACGGTGAAACATTTTCCGCCAATACGCATTAAATACATCTTTGCGATTTCCGCATTGCATGAAGGTGCTTCAAATACTTTTGTTAGGTTTATTGTGTAATATTCATTCTCCAAATTCAAGCAGTGAATATCAGCTAAAGAAGAGTACGTTTACTTATGGATGAAAAATAGGGATGGTTACATCTCTATAACAAGGTTATCTTCTAGAAATAACTTGCGCACCTTTTGCATTGATGTGCGTTTTCTAAAACCCCATTATTTCACTTCAGACTAGCAATGCCCAATACGTGCATCTCCTTGACCATAACATCTTGCCGATCTGGATCCGATTGAGATAGGATTCAGTTTACATGCACATCGGAGGATAACTATATTTGTTTAATCTAAATTTGAAAATTTTGTTTAAATTCATTTGGAGTACGTTTGGGGGGTAAGTTTTGGAATCGTGATTTTATTTCGCTCGAGTTTTTAATGTGGGGTGTGCGATAGACTTACCTCCACATGGTGCACCCTGGGAAAAGTCTATTAACTGGCAAGTTGACTAAAGTCTATTAACCGGCAGTTGACTTCTGACTTCAAACACTTCCATCACCCACACTGTATGTCATATTCGACCCCTTTCAAAGTACTCATCTTACTTTAACGGTACAAGTCTATTAACTGGCAGTTGACTTCTCACTTCAAACTAACAAGTCTATCAACCGGCAGTTGACTTCTGACTTCAAACTACGTCTATCAACCGGCAGTTGACTTCTCACTTCAAACTACCAATCACCCCACTGTATGTCATATTTCACCACTTCCACAGTACTCACCTCGCCTTTTTTCTACCTTCAGTTGACTCTAGCTACCATGACCCACTGTATGGCATATTAGTCTACTTCCACAGTACTCACCTCACCTTTTTTCTACCTCTGAGTCTGTATACTTCCATAGTACTCACCTCACCTTTTTTCTACATTTGTATCTTCCACAGTACTCACCTCACCTTTTTCCTACCTTTTCTAAGCCTCCACAGTACTCATCTTACCTTTTTCTCTACCTTCGTGTAACACAGTACTCACCTCACCTTTGTTCTACCTTTGTGTCTGTTTAAACTACCATCACCCCACTGTATGTCATATTCGACTTCTTTCACAGTACTCACCTCACCTTTTTTCCACCTTTGTGTGTGTCTCTTTTACATCTTTGTAACACCCTTCTGTCCCGCCCACCCCCTCTCGACTTTTTTCACATTGACAGAAGTAGAGTGAAGGTAACACGAATGGAGGTCACCAATTTTCATAATGTGTAAAAGGAGTTTCCACATTACATTCAACTATTCTTTATTCCTTGTTCTGGTCACAATATTTCTTCGCAGGGCATTAAATTAAAATAAAACCAGCAATTTCATTTTCTGAAAAGAGCAAAAGATTAAACTTTTAAATAAATAGCAAACTCGATTTGAATAAATAACAGTATCATGTTTATCTTAAGAATACTGATTTGTAGCAATAGGAAGTAAAATCCATTTGCCCATCTGCTGACTTTAGGAAAAAATCTCGTATCCACTTGAGTGACCAAAAAGAGGGCTCAGAATCCATTCATTACCGCTTTTGAACTATCTGGCATGAGGTGAAGGAAATTTCGTCGATATGCAACTTAATATGCACTTATAAATACGATTACTAGCGTTTGTTAAGTGAACACATAGATAAGACAGAGGGCAAATGGATTTGGGACAGAAAGAGTAGATTTGATTCGTTGAATTAGGAAAAAGTACACATCTCGACTCAGCCTAAAATAAAAAAGCTGCTACTTTATCAAACGAGGCGGACATTGACACCAAGGTCAACATTAAGGATGGAATTCTGAAACGCTGAATTCTAACCACTTTCGATCTTCTTCAAACAAAACTCACGAAAATGTGGCACTGGGAGTCATTGTTGGTTATCGTGAACATGTCGATTGTACAAAAACACCCCCCCCCGTCTTCTCAGCAGATATTCACAGAGTTGGCAGCTTCGTACTACACTCTCTATGCCATAGTGTTTCAAGAAAGGCTTTATGTTACTAGATCTAAGAATTGGCATCATTGGCTGCATTAAACACCACGGACCGGCCAAACCAAAGAAGATTATGGTTTTAAAATTCAATCACTCAAGAGAAGCATTAGAGTACGAGAATTTGGAAAGTTTTTCATAGCAGCTCAGAGCTCATTGAAGCTTGATTTAGGGATTTCCCAGAGGTAACACTAGAGTTTTTCGCTTGTCGTGGTTCCATAGGAGCACAATCCTAAGGCCATTCGCCACGTGTACCTAATAAGAACATCTTTGCCGGGCATATCAAATAGAACAGGCTTTATTTGGCTCTCAATTAAAGGCGAAATACCTATGTGTAATATTTGGTGCTCAAGCTAGTAGTAAGCATGAACCCTCATTCAATGAAATTGACACCTCTGGTTATGGCCACAATGAAAATTAAGCTACAAGTAGAAACTCAAAAGCCCAAAGCCACGCCGTCGATGAATCCTTAAATCGCATAAAGCAGACTGCTAATCATTCTTTCCATATCTCCCTATTCATTGCAAGTGGTCTCTAAATTGACATTACCACGGAGCAAATCAAATTGTGCGAATTGACTTAAATTTCCAAAAGAATTATTTGATGGTCTGAATATTTATCACAAGTTAAATATATCATTAAGCTTAAGCCAAGGTAAAGGTTGAACTTCACAGCGTCCCTCATGTTCATATAATCGCACAATGCACTCCCATCTGATCGATGATTATAACCTACAAAAGCATCTATTAAATGGCATTTAGAAACCCAAACTTCAATGACTAAGACGGCGCGAACTTTACCACAACAATCCAAACACAATTTGCCAAACCCAAGACCAGCAACAAAACAGAGATTACAAGTAACTAATTAATTGGCATAACAAGTCGTTACACACAATTCATAAATCGTAATCTGAGTGTTCATGAAGGACATGAGCAGATAGGAAAGAAAAAGAGATGCAAAGAATACAGAAAGCGAAGATAACGTTCAAGGAAGATATTTCCACACAACCACACGGGCATATATGTACACAAACAAAAACAAATGTCATGCACGGCCGGCCGGCCTTGCGATACAGAAAGATACAGGGACAGGAGAGAAATATCAGAGGGATGGATACGGGGATTTATGTACTTTCTCCAATGGTGATATGCCTCCCCCAGCTAATAGAAGGCTGTGGATTTTTCGATGACAACTGTCTGTTGTTGTTCTTCATTACAGTTGCCTATTGTCTGAGGTATACCGGAGGGTGGGGATGAAAGAATTGGAGGGGCTAGTTCTTCTGTCTGCATTGCTTCTGCTAACTCTTCCTCTTCAGTGGGAATTTCTGCCAATTTCGGTTCGTCGGTTGAGTTCGGGCCTCCTTCGTCACACGACGCATCGATTCCTTCTACTTCGTCGTCCTCCTCCGATGCCGCCACTGGAAGAGTCTGCGTCTCCTCGGTTTCGTAGTCAAGTTCCGTTGAGATCCGCTGTTGTTGCCTATTGGCGTCGACGTTGATGTCGATAGCACCTCGGACGCTGAAATCAAATAAGCGGCGTGCTTAATTCACCCTCAGTCCTCTTTACTAAACTATGACAATAATGTCTTTAAGATTGCATCTACTGAAACTGAAATGTGTATTTAAAATGAAATTTGGCGTGTGAGAGCTTAGAAGTGGCGAAATCGATTAAGGTTATTGCTTTAAACATCCATTATTTTCCAATCTCAGCTAAATCTGTAATAAAACTCCAATGAAATATATACCAAACCTACGTGTGCAAAATAAGATAAATGGATAAAGTTGAAGTTATTGAATTAGAGTTGGACAATTCCATACTATATATTTACGACTATCACATTTCCATAAGCAGACAGAGAGAGAGAGAAAGGTGCTCGAGTAAATTGAGGGAGAAATGATTCAGATAACTCGACAAATATTCAGCCACGGAAAAATGCATTAATGATAATGAACACCCTGTGTCTCGCCATGAATAAAGAAATGTTGAATAAGAAGGAAAAGAGAATGAATCTGGCATAATGACAACTCTCAGACGCCGAAACCAATGAAGTGAGATAGTCACACAAAACCCTCGAAAATCTAACCTACATTCCACTACTTATGTACAAAATAAAACGCTAAATATAGTAAGTGGTGGGTAAGATAGAACTCGTTAAAACGCTTGCATACCATCATTTGTCGAAATCTTCCGATGATCACTAACAACAAAAAGAGATCAAAAAAGCTCATTTAATAGAGAACTCTATAAAGCGGAACCAAGAGGCCTTTAGACTAGAAGGTACTTACGAGGACATATAGCCACGAACGAGTCTCATAAGTGCCCCAAAGTGAGCTGCATCGTTCTCAGAGCTCCCACTGCTTGCACTACCACTACCACTTTGTTGTGAGGCAGCAGCGAGAACTGAAAGAAGACTAGCATCCATGGGGAGGGAACCAGTTGGACCCACGGAGGGCATAGATGGCCGAGTAGAAGCACTTAGTTGTCTCTGAGCCACAGTGGCTGCACTGGATGCAGATGGGTTAATAAGCCCTTTCGCTAGAGCAAAATCAATCAGGGCCCGATACACAAAGAGGTATTGCGCTGAGACCTGCACGCACCCCGAACGCTGTGATCGGATACGTGCTACTGTAAGGGGTACATTTACTTTGCCCAACTCCACAAGTTGTTTGGTACTCACATCAAGAGCAATAAAGGTACCTGTAAACAGATAAACGGTTGGATTGATATCTACATACATACTAAAATCCATTTAAGTAGTTAGTAGTGAGACACACCGGTTCGACCAATCCCAGCACTGCAGTGGACAACAATAGGAGGAGGAGGGATGGGAGTGTCAAAGGAAGAGTCGTAGCCCAATTCACGTTTGATGGTTGAAGCATATTCGCTCTGGACTGTTGAGAGGAGTTCAAGAAGAGCGGAACTGTCTGAGGGAACACCGTGATCGGGCCAGGAATGGAAGGCGTAGTGTTCGATAATTCGGCTTTGGCCAGACTATAAATAATACATGATCGAGATTACGATAGGAAAGTGAAGAGATTCAAAGATTTTGCAAGCTTTGCGAAAAAAACTACCTTGGAAACTGGAGAAGATTTTGAAAACCCAATACATTTTAATAGATACATAGTGCATGAAGGAAGAGTTCGGCGAATAGGATTTGCTTCGAACGAGAAAGTTCTGATGTTGTGTCCTAGTCACTCATCATCCTTGTTAACATGCGGATGCATATCACTCTTACTAGCATGGTAAAACTTTTATCTGATCGGAAATTTTAAGATCACCAAATATTAGCAACAGGAAAACGACCTGCACTGCACTTGTACCCCTCTCTAAGCAGATCTGAGGGCACTGTAGCATAGCGATAACTAACAGACATAAAGACCATGGTGGAGGACATAAACACTTTCTAGTATTACAACGGTCTAGAAGAGACAGAGTTAGCAGTACAAGTTCCTTTGGCAGAATGAATAAGTCAAAGGTGACTTTCTCAGAAGTTCATAGCATTTGGGGACCCCAGTAAAGAACAGCGAATAGCAAACTTGCACGAAAATTAACCACAAATAAAAACCTAACACAATAAGTACGAGTTTCAAAAAGATAGGATTTTTGAAATCTTGTTAGGGGGGGGGGCGGGGTTATGGCAAATGTAACAAAATGACTGTCGCCACACGCTTTATTTTTAAGATACCCCTATAAAATATTTTTTCTTAAAAAAACTATTTAAAAGTTGAGTTTACTGACGCCTTAATTTGGAACACAGTAGCCTCTTGGTTTGGCTTACTTCCCTGACGCTTGAAATTGTCTCCTATGGTTGTTACCATTCATAAGATAGTACGATGTAATTTGAACAGGATTCGTTCTTTCAGGGTATCTGTGACCATGTATTTAGCTTCAAATTGTACAACAAATGTGATTAAGTGAAGTAGCGAATGACAGAACATACCTTTATATCTTTAAGATTGAGTTTCGTGCAAGTGTAATCCTCCCCGGATTGTGAACTCAAGTGTGTTACTTCAAAGACGAACTTGTTCGAATTGCTGACTTCACTAGCAGAGCGTCGAGTCAGACCACAGAGTGTCTTCTTTTTGCTCGGTGCCAAGGTACCACTGTTTGCAGAGCCACCAGTGGCCCCAATTCCACCCCAACCAGAGGAGCCTGTTGTCACCACAGAGGTGGCGTTTGGAGATATTGTGGTAAAACGTAGGGATTGACCTTCTATTGCGGGCCAGTATTGAAAACACTTGCAGCGCTGCGATTCGTAACATCTACCGGAGATAAGATAAATTTAGTTAAATTGGATTTCCTATTTTTTATTGGGAGACTCTCAGGACACATTAAAGTTGCAAGAGATCAGTGGCATGCTAGTACGCACATGATCCCTCAATCTAATTGCCACAGAAGAAGCTAACAGAATACAGTATTTGAGTGATATTCGATAAATAAAACTGCAAAGGATTTTTCAAACTCGCATTCAAAGTAGATAGTGTATAATGGATGGCCTTTCTAAAATAGCTTAGGAAGTATGCACAGAGTAATATTTTCGAACGTATGAACCACTCGTATACTATGGACAAAAGTGCGTAAACAAAATTACATTGAGCCATGAGATTTAATATAACCTGACTGTAGCGTTTTTTCCCAGGTTAATTTTGCCTCGTCGTTTAAATTAAATGCGATTAATGATCACGGAACGGAACCTGTGAGAAAGAGAACTATGACCGACGTCAATAATTATGTGATGGGTCTTAGTTCGTTCAGTTCGAAAACAACGTTGACGAGAGACAGAGTCGAAGTAACTGGGGGAAAATTGAGCGTTTTAAGAAGGATTATTAGGTAGGGGGTTCACATAAGCCTTGTTGAGTTTTTTTATCAGTATAAAGAATTGTGATAACAGTCTGACACCAATTAGCAACCAAATTCACATTCTCTTCTGAGTCACATTTCTCCCACTAGAACTAAAGTACATCAAATAAACTTGGATGCTTCGAGCGGCTGATATTTAGGACAAAAAACTGACATCTAGACACTTAAATACTGTTGTTTTTATAGGCTACTAAGTCCCCCAGATTTTATTCGCTGTTCTTTTCTCGGGACGTCAATAAAAACGGTGTTGAAGAAACTTCAGCATCAAATGTCGTCCGACTCATAGTGTCTGCATGCAGGTGCGAGCGCGCACTATACCGCACAGGTCAATCCAATAAAGCGAACTTTGGATTTTTGATTTTGAATAGAAATGGAAACTAAAACAGGGTGTTACATTAGAAATGCTCGAAAATTTCAATAAGAAAAAATACTTCCCAAATCAGTGCACTAAATACCCCCCTCCCGAAAGTCTGTAAATGTTCTAAAGTTAACGGGTTCAGCTAGCGACCCAAATGGTGATTATTAAATCGATCTTCGCTACGCCTCCAATAAAAGAAAATTAATCAAAACGCCTTTTATTCCCAAAATAAGACATAATAGGCACGTGCTCGTTTAAACAAATTACAATAGTCATAAAATAAGCCAGAGATTTGAGCGAATCCCCTGATCTGGCAAAAATCGCTAGAATAGCACGTGAGCTTGGCTTAGGAGATGCAGGGAGGGAAAATCACCCACAGTTGTGATAAAAAAGTGCACGAGCGTGCGTAATCCATAATTAGACTGATATAAGTGTGATTAAAAATAACAAAGTATCAGCTTTATGGGCAATTTATGCGTACTAACAGTCTAAATGCTACAAGCAGCCAATCAAAAGCTTTCATGCACTATGAAAATGACATGGATGACATTTAGGTGCGCAAATCAATCTCACCACTGCCTTGTAAAGTGGAGTAATTTCCCAAATTAGAAATACTAGACTTAGTCAATTCTATCCATAATCAGGGACAAGCTAGTTCCGCCACGAGCGCACTTTATAATTATTAATCAATCGACCAAGTTAGGCTATAGAAACATTTCCCAAACTAGACACCATGCTAAGGTAATCAAGGCTTAGTTAGCACCGAGTACATTCCTAATTAAGGTCAAGCCATTTGAATTATACACCCTTGAATCATGGATCTAAAGAAATCTGACTTTAGTACACACGTGCTGAACGAAAGAACAAATAAGCCAATTTCTTTTTGCAGCAGATAATTAATCTGAAATCAGTAAGAAAATTACTATTAAAAATAACCTTAGCTAAGGAAACGAATTCAGTTCACTGGGTGTGCATAGCTAGACATTGTATCTAAGATCTCAAAATTTTGAAAATGTAAACTGCAGCCTCAACATGAAAAAAAACATGATTACAAATGCAACGAAAGGCTCAAGATCACAGGTTCTGCAACTGAATTTCAAGAGATTTAAAAAAGTGGAGGCTGGTACTGGTAAATTTAAGACAAAGGTGGAAACAATATTTCATGCTATCTTCCGTCTTATTCGACTTTCACAAAAGGTGGCAATTCCATAATCACCCTGAAGAATAGAGAAATGGTGTCCCTAAAATCATCGGGGGGGGGGGGGGAACTAAATTGACGAATTAAATGGGTAGCATCAAGGGGAGTCAAGGACAGATTTATGGAGCCCCCTGGTGGAATACGAATACTACCACCACACTTTATTTTTCAGAGCCAGCAAATGTCGTTAGCTATTAGTTCCCTGAGTGCGCACAGATGGGCATTGAAGGAACACGTTAATTACAAAATAGACATAAAAATACTAGTCAAGCGATAGTTAGTTCAATCTCTCCTTAATTGAGGTCATGTGACCACCACTACCAGCATTAGGAAAGCTGACCTCAAGAAGCCTGGTGAGTACGTTCATGTGACGTAGGCAGTTGGAGTGAGAATAAACTTCCAAGAAAATTATATTTGACTTACCGTGTAATCATCACGATAGCAGGTACATTGTAAGTCCATATCATGAACCAGAAGTCACCAGAAGTGTCTTGAAGGGGACCTAAACGAAAAAGGAAAATGAATAAATGTGATTTCCGTCATTCGTACCCTGCTAAAAAGTAATCTCAGCGAAAAGAATCGAATAGCAGAACTGAACTAGTTGTAGAATAGATTACCTTATAAATTTCTTAAAAGTGGTTCCAAGACCATACAGCTCAGCTAAGCACTTCCACTTCACAAAAAAATAAGAAGACTTGTTTCGCGAAGTTAGGCATTAACAATTATAAGAAATTGCATTTCAACTCGAATAGAGCGGGATATCATTTTGAAAAGACTAGGAAATGGCAACTGAAAAGCAATGCTAGTAGTAATCCTAGTGCCACAAATCCTGAAAGCCAGATTTGATGAAAAATCTAAAGATGGGAAGAAGTGACTCAATGAGTTTTCCAGCGCATGGATCTGTTAGGCCATAGATCACGAGAACGAAGCCCAATTAGTGCACACGCAGTGATATAGACGATCAATCGCACTCCGGTTAGTTGTCATAAGCGGACAAAGTAGATTTATGACATGCAAATTAACATCTCCTTTAATGCGATTGGAAAATTCTGAAAACAGAGCAACTATTTTAGAATTTTAGCTTTGAATGGTCTACATTTCACAAACGAAAAGGATAGTTGAGACGTCAACTATTTTAGTTTGATTCGCCACTATCTACGACTTATCTAATCGGCAGAAATGCAAGTAATGCCATACATAATATAGGCAGGTGGGCAAAGTTGTGATCCAGCGCAGTAAACGCAGGAGATATGATTTGATAGACTGCGGGGTAGACGAAAAAGACGTTTATTAGGAGTCCATTTAATGATGATTGGGAGGGGGGAGGTGAATCATACTCGCAGATACAGACGTCGCGAGCCTAGAAGTCCTGCTTACTACTGCAGATGCCATTAGACTAAATGTGGGCTGCTACACCTCATTAACTTGCAGTCATATATTGATTTTCAATCTAATCGAGGGCAGAACTGTAGATAAATTAATTTAGCTATCACTACTAGTCTCATTACCGTACACCTCACTAGAATTCCAACGCTATTCTATACAATAAATAGGCATGAAAATAAAAGACCAACAAATGTACGAGCCTTGTTTTTCAGGGAAAATAAACAATACGGCTAAACGAAACCCTAACCCATCTTTAAGTTTCCTCACCCCGAATGCAAACTTGAAAATCCCGTCTACAATTAGGAGCAGAAATAAGAAATAGTGGTTAACACAATTTTGGTTTATAACGACAAGAAGGATCGCATATTGAGGCAACCGTCAAAACGCACGTCGATTGAAAATAATTCAATTTAAGCAAAGAAAATTATATGCAGAGCGAATGCTAATTGAAAATATGGTGGGAACTGGCTTCATCATGAGTTGGAGGGATCAAATGTTCAAATTGCCCCTCAGAAAATAGACTTTCAAAAAATTCCACGCAAAAATGCCAGCTAGTACTGGTCTTGAAAGGGAAAGCATATTTTAAAATGTTAGTGGCTGACATACAAAGAGCATTGCTGAAAGAGAGTAGTTACAGAGTAACTTTCGATATTTGAGTAATGCTCAAACGTTAAATGAATATGGGAGATCATTCCATTTTAAGCTTCGCACGACATGCTCCATGGTATTTACATAGATCTGAGCATATACTCAGGTCGTTACACTACCTGCTTTACTTCCTGTTAACCAGATAGACGGGAACATTCTTGAATAGCTAACGGTTTTGAGAATAAAATGAGTTACTTTCCAATCTTCATGAATGGCTATTTCAATTCAAAGAGGCGTTCTTTATTCTTTGCCCCCATAAGCTCCAATATGAAGGACCATCAGAAACACAACAGCACAAAGTGAATAGGCAGACATTTGTGTGAAAGACCGAATTTGCACACTTACCGGACACTCATTTCGGCCCTCCGTAGAACCGCACCATGGCACGGATACTCCATAACCAGACCAGACTAACTTATGACGCGATGTGCATCCGTAAGGAAGTCAGCGACCCATTAGAACCCCTATGCTTGAAATATAACGGTTCACATTTATCTCAATAAATCAGTCTCTACTGCTGATGAGGATGCTGGAGGATGAATGGCAGTTATGGCCAACTGTCATACCTACATGGTAGCTTCAGTTATCGGTTTATTCGCCATGTACGTTAAACCGAAATTGCAAGGAATCCTCATCATTCTATGATTGTGATAACAACTTATCTAAATGAGGTCAAAGTCTGGGGGATAGTTTAAAATGTCTAGTCTTTTCTATCAGTCAACTAGTAGGGTGATTCTGAAAGTAAAATATGAAATACTAAAATCACAAATGAAATAAAGTGATGAAGAAGCAATTGGTGCGATAGGAGAATAAGAGCTAAGTTTGAACCTATGAGCGATTACTATGCAGACTTCAATAACGTAGGCACGAAATTTTAGGAACTACCTTTAGCACTAACGACAATCTCCTACTCCTCATTTGCATCCGTAGATAAGGGATTGCCTATTATGGGGCATGAGTGGGGATAAGGAGTAAATAAAAAATGTACTGCCCCTTGAATGAAATCTACTTAGAATGCTTATATCTACTCGCGCCAATGGAAAGAGTCGATTCTGCTTCCTATCAAGAAACACCATATAGTGACTTGAATCTATGCAAGGCTAATACGAAGCACAAATCTTTTATTTTAAAATAACAAAGTGGATGAATAGAGCCGATAGGTGACACCAACACATTGCAGTGAAAGGTTAGCGGCGAGGGAAAAAGAAGAGCAATAGAATTGCTTAACACCTTGCGTCAGTAAAATTGTCGAAATTACTTTTACTGGCGTATGCTAATGGGCCAACTTTTGTACAGGCGAAAGAAAGAAAGGCAAAGTGTTCTGCTACGGTTAAAGCAAAAAAGCATCTTAGGACTTTTGTAGGATGGCAGTTACTTGGAACAGAAAGAATTACATTGTGTAAAAGTTCGTCCCAAGGATGTACATTTAGTAACAAAGATTTATGTAAAAACTATGGGAATAGATTTAATCAAATTTGATCTCAATATCGCTAAATACGAATCGATATTATTGAACATAGTCTATTGTTACATTGTGGTAAATTTGCCCTCCTCCTTAAAGAGACCAGATACACTATTTTATCTGATAGTGCCGAGGAGGAAATATCGTAACAACTGGAGAAGAGTATTCGATTAAATAGGCCTTCCCCCTCCCCAGCCCACCCCCACTTAGGAACGTAACGTTTCGATTAAATTAATATTTCTATTATTGAATGGAATTAAGTGTCTACTCTCTCCTCCATTTGCAATAGGAATATCGGGCTTGTAGGTAGTAAAAAGCATGAAAAGTAATAGGAGCCCAACATAACAAAGCGCATAGCTGCAGTGCTTATGGCTTCACAAGGAAATAATGAATTCCCACAGGCTGTCTCAAAGTCACCAATCATTCTTATGGCATATGGCACACATCATTACCGAGGATAGCTTAATAGTTATTTAGGATTAAAAATGTCATCAAATAGGAAGTGTTTTGATCTCCCAACACCTATAGTAACAAGAATATAGATTACATTCCTAGGCATAATGGCTTTGGTTCATTAATAAAATGTCTCGGTGCTAACTGCGCTGTCTTGACCTTCTCTATCCCAGTCCCAGCTAACTGTAGCCTAGCGACATCTAGTGAATAGATAGATTTTGGAGGCGGAACTAAATCTTCTAACTTTATAGCAGCATAGAAAAATAATACATTACGAAGGTGGATAATCTTTACTAATGATTGGTGAGAAATTGAGATATAAAGCATGTAGCGCAACCATTTTCAAGCTGCTTGAATAGCACAACTCACGAGCTAGAGATAAATTTGTTAACATGATTTATTTGAATCTCCTAAGTACCCAAAATCGATTCTATTCAGTGGTTTCTTCTATATAGATTTCCCATTCTATAGCACGCAAATAGCATTAAGAAGTCCTGGCTGTATGATTTTTTTAACAAATTAACTTCCAAGTTAGCATGATATAACTAAACGCGAGTTAGGCAGTTCAAAATACCTTGGTTAGGCCGCAAATCATTGTAAAAAGATCGTGAAATGCAAACTCGCTCATTTGAGACTATAGAATGTTACTCTTGCTCAATAGCCTGAAAAAAACTTTTCTCAATGGGCTTTCAAGAGGGAACATAGACTAGATGTAAAAGAATAAAATCAAGACATAAAAACAGACATAAATGGTAAGAAAACAATAGCGCGCATATTAGCCAAGAGGCATACAAAACTCGCTGAGAAGGAAGTAAAAGGTAAATACCAAATTGACCCCAAACTCACCTTGAGTGCAAATGAAGGCATTGCGCTGTCGGTAGCTGTCCACCCAATTGGCATGTATGTATATTGGCACTTGTTTATCTGCTCGAGACACTGACTTTCCACTTGTTGTCAAACCTGATGATGCATTGAGAGAAGTTGTTGGATTTTGTTGATGCGATCTCAAATGCACGCGGCTATGCTCTAAACATGTCACATCAACGTATCGGTTCTTTGATGAGTTGCACGGTCGTCTACAAATAAAAAAACCAAATGTAAAAGGAGAAAAAATCGCTCCATAAGACATCGATAGCTTCTAACAGTAGGGGTGAAGTGAGAGCATTTAAGTCTCATTCAGTAAATGACTCTTATTATTACGCAGATAGGTGCATCAAAACGCATCTTAGTTAGAAGAGTAGTATTATAAAAAAAAAATGAAATATACCAACCCCTTTAAAGTCAGCCATTCCACTTATCGAGTACATTGTACACTGATAGGTATCGAACTCGCGACCTCAGATGGGTGTGCCAGCCACTTAAGAATCACTCAAACACTGCATTTCAGTAAAACAAAAGGTGAACAGTTAATTAACACAATATTGAAAAAATGTGTTAAACAATGTGATAAGAATTCATTCTAGTAAAATGGCATATACAATTGTAAGAAGATACCAACGAATCAAAGGACACGACCAAAGATTCAATGAAGTCAGGAGGTTCTGATTATCGACAGAAACCCAGGAGTCAAGTACAGAAAAAACAGAACCTATGAAAATTTGAATAAGAAGCTTGATATTCCGATTTCGACCCACAATTCGCAGTTCATTAGACTATTTTACTACTTTCTGGCCTTAGATATTACTCTACGACTAAAAGGGAGGAAGTGGGTAATAGTGATTTTACCGCAAAAAACATTAACCCACTTCCGTCTGATAGAATTTACCGTTTAGAGATATAATCATAAACCCAACAAAGTGGCAATTTTAAATCCAAGTGAATCATGTCAACTCTCTCTCTCTCCCTCTATGTATGTGCACGTTCACACTTTACAGTGGGAAAAGAGTTTAATCATAGGGTAGGACAGAGGGAACATTCAAAATAAAAGGAAGACTAGTTAGTGAGTCACAACCTATTGCGAAAAATGGAACCTTGCTAGCGTACACGCAAGAGTTTATAGCAATCGCCGCAGAGAAAAGAGACCAACAAGTGTCGACTGGAGGTCGCAACTTAGCCACTTCGCTCAGGACGATTTTGACGAAGAGATAAAATTTATCAATCTAACTCAAACAGCATATCTGATTTAGAGCGGACCACGATGGTTTATAAGCTAATCTAGACCTCCAACAAGGGACGATTGAAAATGAGTTGATAAGAAATTAAAGAATCGTCTGGAAGTTATATTTCAGTCCTTCTAAATGTTAACACAAATCGACCTACCATCCTGCAGGTAAGAGTAGCAAAGCGGAGACTCAAGGTTACTAGTATAAGAAAGCAAACCAGAGTCATAAATATAAAGCAATTACTAAACCAGTCTGAGCTACCATGGTGCCTATCGAAAGAAACTGGAGCTATTCTAGGAGGCAGGGGTCATCACTTTTGAAATAAAATTCCAGAAACTCGACTGTGAGAAAATTCAATTATAAAACTGCGAGTATTACTAAATAAAGACCCGTTAGAAATCCAAAGCTTGAGCAAAGATCAAAATTACTCTGTAAAGAGAAGGGAGGATCCTATTAAAACTGGGTTATAGCAAGCACAAATCATAAATCAATGCCCAGGTGTAGTTGAAGTGCGGCATAGGCATATAATTAATTGCGATTTACTCAAGCCCATAGGTAGTATACTTTTACAAAACATCCTTCAGTTGAGGTTTCAAATTTAATTAATCTAAATAATTTTCATCCACTAAAGTCACTATAAGCTCATTGATCAATAACGAAGGACTGCATGGGGGACTTCAAACAAATTTAAAACTAACAAAAAAGGGAATACAACTTCCTTTTGATGAAGACAAAACATTTTGTAAACTACTTGATTATTGCAGACGGATTCAACTACAATAACTTTCATTACCAACAACCGGAACAAATTAATCGTTCATCTACAGCCTATCTACCCTACGTATTCACTCCACTCCCCTACCCAAACGTCGTTTACGCATGGTCAGAGTAATTGAATTGTGAATCGGAATGGCCGATATAAGAGAGCCAGATAGTTAAGTGGCTCGATGAGCAACTGAATAACTCTACAGCATTAGGATAAGTCGACAGAGAGGCAAAACATTATGTGAAAAGGATCCTAGCAAGCTTTATGAATTCAATTTACTCTAAGGCAGCAATGAGAAGGGGGGGGGGAGGGTAAGAGAGTACACTTATTAAGCGAGGACTGAAATATTCATTAATAGGGAGAGTTGAGCGTCGAAAAAACAGTGGCAATTTAACAAACCTATAAGAATGTGAGGACAATGTAGGGGAGAAAAACTAATAAAGCTACACTCCTAGAGTCCTGATTAGGAAAATTGAATTGCACAAGAGTTGTATAAGTGCTCAAACGTGTTGTTCCAATAAATTACAAGGAGTTTTGAGAAGCCTATTTGAATCAAATATATCCCCATAATATGAATAAGCGTACAGTCTATTAACCCTTCAACACCATTAGGACAGTACGGTCTTCTTTCAAAATAAGCTCCACCGGTATTAGACTCGTAACATAAGGCATCATTGGGGCTTGAAACACGTTCAATGCGTTCTGAGGTTGACCATCTACCCTACTTGACACACACCATTGTACAGTTGCCTGGCGCACACGTTGACCACTGGGCCACTAAAGCATGACAAATAGTTAAATTGGTACTGAAGATTGATAAGTGAAAAATGTATATCGAGTTCTTATGCCTTTGATACTAGCTAATACCTATTTGCCGTTATTTTGATCAAACATTAAATGAAAATAAAAACTGAAAAAGGGAGAGGAAAAACTCAGATTGAAGAGTAACAATTTGGTTCAACGTCTACCAGCTTCCCTTGACACAAAATCGGAATTTTGAAGTTTGACAGGACAAAGTTGGCATTGAGGCAGGCAGATTAACTTACTGACTAAGTACCCACACCAAGCACCATGCTATTTTTTAAGCGTTGAGTTCGTCATTAACAGTATTTGAACCCTGCATGCAAAAGTAGGCGTAGGATGCAATTAAGTGGCCTTTATTAGAACTCAAGAGAAGGCACTTTAGCTGAATTTCAAGGCCAATTCAAAAATGAAAACACTTCAGCTATTTAAAATTTGTAAGCCCACTTATGAAAATGCATAGCAACGCTTAGATTAGTAGAATGAATCAAGAAGTTGCCTTGGTGAGACTCGGGTTTTTTTTCACTTTCTCAAACTAATTGGGTTTGCAATTCCGCTCCCTGGAAGTGGGTCAGTGGGAATCGAACATGGGACTAGCAAAATGATTAATGCGTAATCGATTCACCATTCTAGCCAATATTATGACTGCCCAACTGCATTGAAACGGATGATCGTGACACTCGTTTAAGATAGAGAAGGTATGCCAAAGCAACTCACAACATTTCTTGTTGATGAGAATTAAACAGGACAGTTGACCAAACATACCACTGGGTGTATACCAATAAGCATTGATCTCGTAACTCTTGACTTGGCAGAAATGCGTGCTAGTCACTACATTACCAGAACAATTGGAAAATATTAACCGTTTAACATTGATATGTTAACTCCCCTAGTCTATGAATAAAATTACTCAACTTTACAGTCTCTACCATGAGTAATAAATAATAAAGTAAAGAACCAACCGAAAGGCCGTGCAAGGATCATCCGTTTTGATATTTCCAATAGCTGAATACTCCTCATAGAGTCCATTAACTCCCACATCAACAACATGATTGACTAGCTGATCAGGGGTCATCCAGAGACTATCCAGATCTAGATCCATCGACTCATCATTATCGTCATCACTGTCACTTCCCTCATTCTGGGAGGTACCACCATCATCGTTGGTGTCATCTTCGTTGTCGTAGCTCTCCTCCTCTTCCTCCTGTTCATAATCCACTTCCATGGCTTGCCCTTCATGCTCTGTTTCCTGGCGATGACCACTCTCTTCGTCTTGATGGTCATTAGCAGAACATTTCACTGAATTATTCACCTGAGAATCGGGGTCATGAGACTGGAGATTTCGAGAACGAAGAGAGGTAGGAGAGCTGGAGGTGGGTGCTGGAGAGGGTTCACCGGTACAAAAGAACTTATCGGACTGAGAATCGTTATCTTCTGAAGAATGGCGATGAGAAACGGAGGGAGCTGAAGAAGTGTTGGGTATGCTGGGACCCTCGTGAATGGATGGTCCAGAGGGACGATCCATAGCCCAGAATGGTATTAGATCTTCACAAGGGGGAATAAAAAACATGATCAGGATGGGAGTGCTTAAATCCATTTGTAACGACTCAAAGCAAAAGATCTGATATTTCTTTAGTGGGATTAACATTTTAAACATAAGCTTACTTTAAATAATAGTGCCATTAGAGTAACTGTGAGTAACCTCGATTAACCACTGGGTCTGAGTCAAGTTTTGTCTAATGCTACCTACCATTTATGACCTACTACTTCACACAGTAGGAAAAAGTACTACAACAGTATAGAAAAGCCTTGGATTACAAAATATAAGAAGATGGGAGATGATACTGCAATTAAGCAAGATTTAGATCAATCATCCCCACTCATCGCAAACACCCTAGGAGACGGGTTAACAGTTAACAAGATATATATTGCAAGAAAATCAGAGACTACAAGTGACCGGAAATAACTCACAGGATTAATAGAGCAGTTCAGATAAATATCGTCGGCCAAAAGTGAAATTTTCGTTAATAGTATTGAGAAAAAATGTGAATTTGAGGATAGGAGAGAATATGCCCTGAGGGTGTTAGAATTAGGCTGGCAAACTTTATGGACCAAGGAGAAACACATACACCAACATGCAGAGACCGATCAGTCAAGAAATTGAAAATAATTTATCAATTCGCCGATTAGTCTGCCTAATTATCTTCGTGGAGGATGATCTCGTTGGAGTGTTTTGGCACAGTTAACACTTATCAACCCATAGAAGTAGCTGGCAATTTTGAAGACTAATAAAGCACATGTCTCATTTCTAAACATAGACATTTACCTGCGAAAGCATTTTGAAAGAATGCAAAAAAAGACTACTAGAAGGTAGAGCAGGTCTGGCTTTATTTTCTTAGCTAGCGCGATTAATAGCTCAAGATTAACAACAAAGGCGTGAGTCAAGAATTGTAAATCGTTACCTTAGATCTTGCTTAAAAATGGTCACCTCAATGGTAAATAGAGAAGCCAACGAAGAAATGGTTTTCAGATTAAACTGTTGATTAAGGAAGGCAGGAGCTGCAATTACTAATTAGATCATGGAGAGTAATTATATTCGATCAATCAGCTTTAATGAAAAGGAGTGGATGTGAATGCTGGCTATCTTTGTTAAACAAATGGGGGGGGGAGGAGGGGGGAATGGGTTTATGAGCTACGCACACAAATACTCAAACATGCACTAACACGAACACCACATGTTGATTATAGTAGGGCTCAATTATATCGAAATGCGGATATGATGATAGGCTGCGATAGAGTTTTACTTGCAATTGGATTGGAGATTAAGTGCAAACCGCATTAGCACGGAACTCAAATTAGCCAAATGCAATTAAGTTATTTCACACTTGAATAAGTATGTGGATCTCATTAAGAACACACCAGTATGAAATTCAAATCGAATAGGAGTAATCATCAACAAAGTTGTGACCTCTAAAACACCTCATAGAAAATTAAATTTAGTAACAAAAATAGTAAATTAGTAATTGAAATCAATCATCATGAAAACCAAAACTATAACAAAAGCGAGAGCCTAGGAATACAATAGGACTAAGGATTTGGAAATTAACTACGGCCACATTATTGAAAAATTGAAGATCAGAAAATTAACATGGAAATGCCAATCATTGGCAACTTTGCAAGAAGGCGTCCGTGAATATATGCGTTAATCTGCATTTGACAAATGATTAAACTAATGCAATTTACAAGCTCCACACTTAAAATACAGATATTATTGTAAATTTGCCACAAAAGCAAATTTCAGTGTACCTAAATATCATGGAGCTAAAATTCGGAATCGCAACAACAGACACAAAGCCTATTAATAACATACCAGAAGGATGAACGCCCGACTTGGGGCCGAGAGAATGTGAAGAGGTAGAAGAGAGAGAAGTCGAAGAATTAGCTGCATGTTTACTTCTCTTCTCCTTTCGAATAGTGCCACTATCCTCCGCTGCCGTCATCATTATCAAAGACGTTAAATCGTCCTGTGAGGCTAAAGGCGCCTTTTTAGCACTCGGTTCCTTGCAGGAAGCTAGGTAATTGTGAAGATTCCCAACACTACCACTTTTGACACTCTGACCAACAAGAACAGCAGCAGAAGAGGTAAGCCTTGCCGATGTGGGAGTTGTGACTGAAGCGGGATCACTGACTGATTGAATATTGTTGATTGGGAGGCAACTAGTAGGAAATTTAGGTTTGGCCGGAGGTGTGGGTGTCCCTTCAGTTAGTGTTTTGGAACCCGGAGGTTGGTCTTTACACTACAAGAGGAGAGAGAGTAACCATAGAATAAAATTGACTCAGAAGTAGGATAACTTGAAGTTATAGGATTAGAATTTATATATCTACGACTAACAGTCATAGTATTTTATCCACTTTCATCCGATCTCAAATAGCGTACTGAACTTGAATTTGCTTTTCTCCGTTTATTCCTCATTCACATAAAAATGCTCATCAAGTTACCTTTAATCGACAAACTGAACTCTTTCCAATTCTGTGTATCTCCTTCCTAGCTTATCACCAAGGAGGCTGGGTGGCTGACAATAAAATCATCTACTCACTTCGCAAGAATATTAATTCCCCCATTGTAGCGAAGTTAGGAATAGGCTTTTCACTATCTATCCAAAGCCTGGAAACATCAATGACATCCAAGTACTCAATTAACTTAGACATTCAATTAGCTATTTAGCTTGGAGGTAAAGACTAGGTTGAATGAATGAGATGAGGAAAGATGATGACATTAGTTACAACAAATATTGCATAACGTCAACTTCTTTTAATTACTATTACCAACTTCAAAGTTCCAGAGCTTGATAAGATTGAAGGGAGAGAGCTTCGATAGGATGTGGTAAAATCAATAGATAAATGAAAATGAGATATTAATTCATGGCTAATATGTAATAAACGATTTTCGCGTCATTGATACATCATTGGCCTCCCAAATCATAAATAGAAAACTTATGTTAAGTAGTTATTTAAAAATCAAATTAAATACCCTTCTTTAATTAGCCTTTTACATTTTGTTGCGTATACAGACCAAATCAGTGTATATAAGATATTTTTGTTCAAAAAACAAAATATCGAAATTATTACACTTCATGCTGGAAAAAATCCCCCCCCCCCTCCCTCTCCTATAAAAAAATAAGACGAGAAACGCGTTGGCTGTTGGTATTTCAATGGACAGATTCCAATACATAGTGGTTTGTTAGTAGAATAAACAACACATAGCACAAAATCTTTCTAAGGTACTTTCCTTTGATAAAAAATACATTTTTATTCTGTCTCAATAGAATGCAACGCTACCAGTGAACCTATTAAAGCTCAAGTTTTTGAACAAAGGCAATTTAAAAAGGAAACGATCACTAAAACAACAAGAATAATGCTTCTTTGATTTAACTCACAACAATTTCCTTCTGTTTAGCAGTGGGAAAGATTTGAACAAGATGGATAGGAAATGAACCCAAACAACTGGTGATAAACTCACAGTATCTCCATTCATCAGAGAAGAAGCACCAGCGATATTCGCCGAAACCACCGGACTACACGACATTGACATGACATTCTTCCTCGACGACCCCTCTAGTGAACCATCATTATTAACCGACTCGGCATCACTCGACTGGGAGCTAGAGAGCGCAAAGGGATCCCAGTTGGGGGAACAGCAGCCAATCTCTGCCATGAGACTCTCATCATCTCCCAGGGGAACCGCTCCCGCATCAGTGTCTCCTCCGGTGTCACTAACCGACGATGATGAACGGCCCGACCGATCAAGGGTGTTAGTATTGCTATCAGTACCATTTGAGGAAGAGACATTAAAGAAGGTGGCTACGGTGGCAGGTTGACGAGGTGTGGCGAGGCCCAGATTAGTACTGTACAAGAGCTAGAGAAAAGAATAAAAATCGGGGGACAATTAGTGAGGGATTGGGAAAATATTGGCACAATAGCGCGTGATTGAAACACAGGAAGGGTAAAATCAAAATCTGTTTCACCACTGCCGTGGTTTTATGATTTGGCAAAGTGATTTGCTGGAATTGGGATTCTTTTAGCCTTACCTTTCAATCCATTTGGGGCTTTTAAAATAAAACAAAGACAATAATCTGAAACAAATGGGAAAATGGCAAAGGGATGACGACAACTTTCAAAATAAGCAATTTTATAGCAAGTACTACGGTAATTATCATCTTATGACGCAATTGCGATAGATAAAAATCAGTGGGAGAGCAAAGAAAGGTGACTTGACTTCCGCCGCTAGACGATTATCTTGTCCTCTCAATTGGCGTGAGATTTCAAATTCTCGAGTCTCTCTTTTGGCAGAGAGCAGGTTAAGCAAAACTAGACGCAAGCAAAAACGTGCTTAAAAGAATGATTCACACATAAACACCAGTATAAATATCAATTCCTCCACAGTGTGGATTTGGCGAGGTGATCGTACAAAGGGTTAAAAAATGAGCCAAACGTGCGATAACATTTCCATCGTAGTTATTTGAGCCCAACTGAAATAAACACTTAAACAATATCTCTTTTCGATCACAAAAAACGATGGTATTAATGAATACCGCATTCATTAACAAGTGAAAGGATAAACACTTAATAACGAAGGAATGCAAATCACTTTTATTCCCCCCCCCGCCCCCCACCCTTCACTTCAGTCTATCTAACTAGTTGCAAGGAATCAATAGAGGATTTTGTCCCTATTAGAAACAGCTAATTAGTGCGTAGATTAAGAATGTGAAGGAGAGCAAATGTGCATTTTTCAACACATAGAACAGAACTCATGAAATGGTATTAAATGAAATATGATTCTTCATTATCTCACTACTGTAATCAGACCCTAAGATGGGGTTCTCATTACTGTCGCAGTTCTGGCTAGGCTCCAAACCACTCAGTCAAGTAGTTTATGGGGAAGGACTAGACAGTCGTAAAAAGCCATTTCAATTAGATAAGTCAAGTTCAAATGCGAATTCAGATAGAGGGACCGCTAAATCAGCGGATTTGTAGTGTCGAATATTGAACATGCAAAAAAATACGCCAAACTTTGAGAGAATAAACATGAACGAATATGGAAAAGTATGCTTGAGCTTTTGGACAAACGTTATTAAGAATCCATTTTTTCTCAAGAAATCGGGCAACCAAACGGTAAAGGATTATAAAAGTGGAACATTTGTCGGCCAGCATGTCAATCACAACGTGGCCAAGAACCAGCTTAATTCAATAACCCCAATTTCGTCCAACCTCTAAGACTCAGGTGTGGCCATATGTGGAGAAAGAACACAAAATACAACAATGAAACACTTCGGAGTAAACTATAATGAGTAGAATTAGCGTCTAAACTCAATGTAAAAAGTTTAGAAACTGCAATAGAGGTGAGTCAAATGTCTAGAAAAACTGGAAAGTGCACAGATTTCTTAAAATTTGAGAAAGGACAAGGTTTGAAGATATTTCCTGCAAATTTCACCACATATTTCAATCATTCAGACATTTTCTTTTATCGATCTACTAAATCGAAAAGTGATGAAATAAATAGGGAAAAGTGGGAATTAATTTCCTACTTGTGGTGAATGTACCCGTTTTCTGACTCTTTCGGTTCCTTCTCTGAATAATCCAACCCCACCCCACCCCCTCTCCCGGGGTCTTTTTGAACTTAATTTCTACCTACAATCAGAACTGAGCTACCAAGAATTCTCAGTTAACTGTTTGCTAGACTGCCATTTTTATTATATATTATGCAGATAGAAATATTCTTTCAACACGTCCATCTCATTCGTATTATGCGGTAGAGAAGTTCTTAAGGTTAGGAAGTTCAATTAGTTACTCAGATTACCTGAGCAATCATAATATTTTCATATTTAACAACCTATCAAGGAAACGACACCTAGAATAACCATCTTCATAAGATAAATTTCCGCTTCATCTCTCATTGCGATAATTTAGAAGGTCGAAATATATTCACAAACGAAAGTAGCGTAGGTGGTAGTGTTGAAAACGTAAAAGCAGATAGTATACCTTATATGGGAAAAGAAAGAGGGTTGAAGAGGTGGAGAAAGTTGATGACTAGTACGTACGCGTTGCCCCCACAAACGCCTATTTGGGGAAGTACACAACTACCAATTGTGCGCACGTATGGGCAGTGAAAAAAGGCCCCTTGCTAGTGTGCATCCTTCAAGATGCACACTAGCCGAAACACCACGGTTAGAAAAAAAAACTTTTTTGTCATTGAAGAACTACATCATTGTTCACAACGACACGTGTTGCAGATGAGTAAATTTAGCGAGTAGTCGGATAAAAAGAATTTCCCGATCTAGACTAGATCTCGAACCGCGTAATATACATGCCTCTAATCTGCCCCCCCCCCCCCCCCCCCCCCCCCCCCCCACCCCCCTGAATTGAAATAGTAAAGGCTAAACACCAGCTAGTCCATTTTCTTCAGCCGAAAAAAATTACAGAATATCCCAAGTCAAATATAACAGGAATTAAAGCTAGATAAGTAAATGATAAATTCAAGTTCTAATGATTCCATTCGAACACTCCATTGAAAATATGATTTCGTCTAAAATTAAACCTTTAATGGTAATAGTAACGAAATCAAAATTTGATGTGGTAAAGGAGAAGTTTTTTTTGAAAATTAGATGCGTTTAGTCTCCCATTAAGGTAATGAAGACTTATAGTAATAAAAAGCATTTCCCAAAGCTCACATTGTGTAGAGCCTGCATGGAGATCACCTAAGGAGAAAGTCGATTTCTCACTTTCTCTAACTAACTAGGTTACTTATTAATGAGTAATTTTAAGGGGGCAAAAAGAGAGCTGAAATAAATGAGAGTTGAAAGATGAAGCAATATTGAAAAAATAGATTTAGACACTTTGACCCTAACACCTAAGTTTTTTGTTAGTTTTGATGGAAAAATTCCAAGACATGAAGAGTGTGAGCTAATTTAATACAGGTGAAAATCTGGCCTCAAAGCTGAAAATAAAAAAAGATACAATTGTCCAATGTTAAAAAAGGGACAGAAAAATTGTCACACACAAAGCTACCGCATGAAGAGATTGTACGCAGTAAATCGTTGTTACTTGACTAATTCCTAGGGCACCATTTCGCCAAACTATCAGACGAATTCGAAGTGGATCTGAAAAGTGTGGATTACGAAAATTGAAAAGAACACAGGTCTCTCCACTCTCGAAAACGGGTACCTGGTGCGATTTTCGTCCAAATGCAAGTAAAGCTAAACTCAAAACCAAATTGAACGCTATGACAGAGAAAAGAGATATCAAGCTAAGTTACTTTAATGGTCTTAAAATTCATTCTCCACGCCTTACACTTTTCGAAAGTGCGTAATGAGGAGGTGCAGTGATCATTGTGCACACCCGCAAAGTTAGATGTCACGAAATCAATTATCTATGCATTCCCGTTGGCGTAGGTGATCAATCCCAATAATTAGTTCTGGTCAGGAAAAAGGGACTGTAGAATACCTTCTCTTTAAGCAAATTAAGTGGACTCGGGAACTGTTTAAGTTCTAAGATGCAATCAGAAGCACATCAGAAAGAGAACTCGGAATCCATACATTACTACAGAGACTATTATTAAACATTTCACAAATACTTAATATATCGATTGGCTTCGAACTCCACACCTTTTGGTAAAATAGAGAAATGCACAATTACTACCACGATGCTGGTAAACTATTTCGAGAAATTACTTAAATCTGATCAATTTTATTGACAATGTCGCCAACAAAACCTCAATCTTAAGTACTTCTTGATTGAAAGCAAGAAAAATCTCATGTTTCCTAAGAATCATACGTTAATTTGCCATTTAAATTGTGAAAGGAAAGAACAGCCAAGGTAGTTACTACCACTGGCAAGTTGGAATGAGGTGACCTAGATATTAAAATCGGCAGCTTATGGAAGAACAATGACATACATAACTATAGTTAGCCACTATAGTCAGCCTCACCAGACCCATCTTCGTCTGAACCCTTGGAACTCAAGGAACTCAATTACTACATTTTACTTTCTGACTCTCTTCCAAAGAGCAGATTCAAAGATTCATCCGCTCGATTCTTGCATGAATTCATGTACGTGGAATTCAGAGCTTATTGTCATATTAATGAAACAGACTAATTTACTATTATACTTCGAAACAGAGCAGGTATAATAATAAACATTACATAATATTGGAATCAGATATACAAAAATGAAATTTCTTTGGCATTGTGCGAGTGGACACAAACTTACTATCTGAAAACAATGTGTAGATATGACCAAAAATTATAATAATATAAATTAAAATTTCAATAGAGTTCACAAGTAAGATTAGTGCTGATATGCGGACAAATAAATAAGGGTATTCTCTCTGTTAAATACTATGAAGTACTATATCGTATCTGTAGATTACCAAATAATAAATTACTTTTCTATTCGGGTAGCAACAGTCGGTTAATTTGGCTAACGAATATGTGAATCAAAAATAATAAAACAAGTGAAACAAGGAAAGATGATAAGAACACCAACCTTCAGAAGTGCTGAATCAAATAGAAAGAGCACAATGATCTTATAATTAACAAAAGACGTTTGAGGTAAATGATATTTCCAAACTTATAGCAGCCGATAAGCATGGTGTACGGGAAAAGTTGTTTAATTTGACTGTATTAGTTACGGAGCCAGATGCACAATGAAAATCAACGAACAAACTGATATTAATGGCCTGACCATTTAAAATTATCCAAAATGAAGGCACCAGAATTTAAACACCATCCAAACCAAAAATTCCGAAATTAAAAGTGGTCAATTGCTGAAGCACCGTGATATGACCTTGAAACAATGTTAAACGAGTAACAACCGAAGCACAGTGCCAGTAAGCAATGCAAAAAAAGCTTGGAATTGCGATAACATCCCTAATTTAAATCCGATATGATTATAGAGGTTGAGTAGAATGCAGTCATATGAAACTAATGCTCGTATGGCATCATCGTTTGACAAAGTAGTAGTATAAGTATAAGCTAATTTATAAAACATTCACCTATTAAAAGCAACTTAGAAAATAGCTCAACGTATGCATAACTCATCCCAAAGATTGATGGCAAGAAATGATTACCAATGGGAAAACAATGTACTAAGTGACAGAGGGTATAGAAATAACAATATATAAATGATTGAAATCGAGTCACTTACTTCACTAGGATTGGTAGTGGCAAAAGGCGCTGTTTCAGTAATTGCAGCATTAAGCCAAGCGAAGTGATCCCTCTTGGCCACTGCAGGATCTGGGTTACTAAGGGAAGCCAGTCGAGAACCGGGAGAGGGACGCATGACATGGACGCGATCTCGTAATTCCTCCTTAATAAAAACGCGCAGAAGTTGAAAAGGCGCACGGAACCACAAAGGAGCAGTCAGCACGATTATTCGCCTCAAACGAATCGGAAAACAGGACTGCAATAAGAATAAAGTGTAAAATGGACACTCAAGAGCGACTTTTATTAATGATATTGAAAAAATACTTTGAGCATATTGAACAGCTTTTTGGATAGGTCTGCGTCAAAATTTGAATACTTTGAGTTTGTCATGTCATAGATCAAGATAATTCCGTTCCGAGCGGCTGTTTCTCTGTAATGGAGGGAAAATATATATAAAATTTGGCATTGACTAGAAACAAAACGGACAGAAAGATAAAACTCACTTTCGAAGAGCAGCATTGAGTTGAAAGATTACGGATTGGAGGAAGGCTTTGTGTGTGCTCTTTGTCGGCCGATGAAGGCGGACAAAAAATTGAGCAACCCGTGCACCTGCCTGGTCATTATCATTCTAGAAAGAAGACAAATAAATGCAACAAACAAAAATTACCAAAATTGTAAATTTTCCTGATAATAGCTCGCGACGCACGCTCTCTTCGAATGGGTTGATGAGAGTAATGCCCTCCGATTTAAGAAAGGCTTCATAAGAATGAAAAAGATCAACAGCCTCTTTAACGTTAAATTTGCGTGCGGCAAGAAAACGACACGCTTGAGCATCATTGTCGGCTATTAAAGAAGATGCGCCGACAGAACTGAGGAAATTTTCAATGCACTAAAATTGCGAATTAGAGAACACTTACAAGAAACATCATATACATAGATAATCATAAGACAACCCGACAGCAACACAATAATATTAAAAGCGTTACTTTATTTGCTTCGACCGATTAGTTTAATTATGATAAGGGTAAGCAACATTTGATTTGAAAAAGGACGCATTAAAATTATAATGATTATAGTAGCAATGAAATAATAAGCGAAATTAAAAAGACTTTGGGTTTACCTCCTTTTCCTTAGGGGATAAAGAAAATTGGGAACTGAGTTTCTGGACCACAGTCTCGCCATTTTTACCACATAGGCTCATGTTTACCTAAATATGAGGGTTATTAAAATGAGCGCAATTGACTATGGTAGAATTTAAGTCGTGCCGTTTGGAAAAATATGTTATTGTCTTTAAAATCTGTTTTTATTTTCATTGAAAATAAGGCATAAGCTACAAAATCAGATTTAAGTCTAGTTCTTTGATTATAATTACAAAAGATCAATGAAATATATATATAATTAGTCTTTGACAATTACCATATTAAGACAAATAAATATTTCACCGCCAGTGTCAGGGTCTCCAAAGAAAAGGCAGTTAAGTTCAGCGATTAAAAACTTTTATGACTTTGATTTGAGTTAAATGGAAATGGTAGAAAGTTACAAACCTTAATTAAACGTATGGCAGAAAAATCAGAATATTATATTGCTATCTGGCATAAAAAATTATTTGGTTGAAAGGATTAAAAGGTATTTAATTAAATTATACATAAAATTACACTCTGTTCTAAAATTACAGTGTGTACCTTAACAGTCATAGGTAAAAATTGTATACTGCCATAAAACATAAATTACCTTTCAATACCAACTAAATGTTATTGTTCAATAAAATCGAAGAAATTTTTTAGCAAGTGTTCATTTCAAATCATCTTCCAGTTATTCAAATCTTTATCAATAATGTCTATAAAATATTATAAACTAGGCTTAGTTTATAATAAACTATATATTTTTTAGTAGAATTTTAGAAATAGTAAGTCCCTTTGCTTATGCCATTTATGTTTAAATATATGAAATGGTCTAATCATTACAACCTTGATAACAACGACACATTGAGTGTTTTCTTTATATCTTGCCGGTGAATTATGGGTAATACTAAATTTTAGCTTTATTTACGAAATAACTAAAGTCATTTTCAAGCCACTTAAATTTCTTATCATTTTTGTCCCAACCATTGAATATCTATATTTCTTATATGTATATTTCTATATTTCTTAGTTGAAGACATGGAAGTATTAGAATTTCTTCTTAAATGTGCAATAAACCACTATATAGCTACCTACATATATTCTAATATTCATTATAACAGAAATTAAAATTTTGGGTAGCACTTTCATACAATTTATGAGTGTTGATTCAGATACAAGAAGCTCCATTTTTCCAATGTCACATCAGAACATCGATCATTCGCGGAGTACTTCGTCTTCACATTCAAAAACACTTGGAAGTGTTCCAAAGCGACGATTAAGTTTTAACCACACTTATCATCATCGTAGCTCCTCCGTCGTCTCAACATCTTCAGATATTGGACTAGACAACCTCTTGTCCACTAGCCCTTCGCATCAATCAATTGGATTACGCACCAAAAAATATTTAATTACCCGTATACTATCTAATCGGAAATTAGCCCTCTCATTTCTTCATCCATTGTCCGCTTCTCTCATGAATGATATTCATTACCTCCTTAAGGTAAGTGGATTTATTTTTATGTTATGTAAGGAACTTTCGTTATCCTGGATTGATAAGTCCATCTTACCTAAAATCGTATTTAAGACAACTTTTACCAAACGAAAGGGGTTTTATTGCCTTGTATTTTAATAGTAAAACTTTAAGAAATGTGCTTATCTTTTATACTTAGTTATAATTGGGGTGTGTGGAGCACAAATCATAGTTATATTCTTTTACCAATTGACATGATCTTATGATTGGTACGTTGGTGAAAAGTTTCGAGAATTTGTTTTGTTGATGGCTTTCATTTTTCTCTAGCATTTCGTCTCTACCATGTTTAGTTGTCCTTGTCAAATCGAGTAAATCGTATGATTTAAGCTAAACATTATACTTCCTGCCTTGAATGTTATTTTCTCATTATTAATTGAAAACGATCAGCTTCAAATGTTATTTTTTAATAACATTTTTGCCACTTTCAGTAAAATTTATAATTGTATTAGCAAATTTGGTAGCTATTCTTATAGTAACTTATTTATCATCTATATTTATCATTTGATCTTCTATTTTAGTTATTTCTAAATATTTTCACGAAATAAAGATTGGTGCAATATTGCCATTGAACTTTATACATCTTTCACTATTCGTTTCTTTTAACTAACTTATCTAAATCTCAATTTGATGACTAAAAATTTTTTGATTCATATACTTATAAACGTGTTTTTAATTTAGCAATGATTATTGAGCCACCTTTGTGCTTTTTCTAAATGTCTTTCTAAATAAATGGTGAATGCTTAATGGAGTATTTATTTAGGCTTCGGCGATTTCCCTCGAGGAAAGATTTTTTAAAATCATTTGAAGTGAAAAATAGAATAATTCACGAAATGTTCTATATGTATATCCAATTAAACCTTCTTATGAATTACCACTGGTTTGCTTATTCCCATGTCAGGGTTCCGTTCTAATATTTTGCTTTGTAACTGCTTTATTGAATTTGTCTAATGAGTGATTTTCCCACAGTCAAAATTTTAATTTTTTCCTTAATGCACAGCACAAGTGCATTTGCTTGAGGATTTTGGTTTTTGAATCCTCAAATTCTTTTCCTTCTTCGTGTTCTTTTAGGCAAAATCCTTTGAAGATGCATAATATTTTGCAAAGTTGTATTTCGAATTCTATAAATAGTGTTATATCATTAGTTTTTTGCTTGTTAAAAAGGAAATATGAGAATTTATTTGAAATTAGACCCCAATCACTTTGCATTCTCCTTGAGACAACATAATTGCTTCTATGATACAAGTTCTTAATGCAATTTCTGACGTTTTACGCACCCGATTTTCTGATTTTTCGCGCTTTATAGGTGAGTTGACAACCTAGTTCAATGCTTGCTATTTATGCGCCATGAAATCGTTAAGAGAAATTTATTTTGTAACAGAATAAGAAAAAAATATTCCTTTATTCTCATCAATCTTTGCTCTTACTTTCCCTTTGAAGAATTAATGCATGGGATTGTAGAGAGAAGTATTTGGCCTTAGCAATATAAAATGAGGATTTCGACTTATTCGTTAAACAGCTCAAGAACAGCTGCTATTTTCGTGAATTTGTTAAAGTACTTCATCGAATCTCGTAAAAAATCACATAATTATTTATCATATATTTGTAGCCTTGGTTTGCATGCGAAATCAAGTGTTGAGGATTCCATGTCGACGGGGCAAACCTAGTGTGCGTAATGGACGAATATGCATTTAAAGCAAAGGTTATAATTCAGAGGTTTCTATTTCATAACCAGGAAGACTTTATCCATAGTAAGTGTTGAAAACTATGTCCCAAATGGCCTTGGGAACGGATTCGATTGCTTCTTTTGGGAATCATCAATGTACTCTTCCAAGTACGCTTTGACTATAGTCCATTCTTGCTTCTGTACTATCTATTACTTATATTAATCTGTGGCTAAACCTTAATATTTCCTTAATTGATCTTTTGTCCTTTTGCAAATAGTCTTCTATTAATCCTTAGATAAAAAATTTATTTTTCAAATTTTTATTTTTCATTTTCATCAATCATATTCAAAATAAACCGTCAATCAATGTTTATTTACATTTTAGTTCACCTTATGTTTTATCTTCCTGTTAAGATAAACTGCGAAAAATATTAAATCGATATTTCATATTTGTTTTAATGAATTTGATTAGGATTTTAATTATTTATTAGCAATCGAAAGATTTTATAATCAAAGGCAGTCCCCATGATTCAGTGGTCAATGTACCCATTTGTCGGGTCACGAGATTGACGCTCATTCGGTGCGAATTCAATTATGTGGATGAGCAGCCGTTTCTGTCAGCTCCCATCAACTAGGGGATTGGTTGAATGCGGGCTTCTAAAGAGATGGGATTTAAGATACCTTCCTTCATTGCAAGTCGAGTATTATCAATACTTCAATTGAATTAGTATTTAATAAGAATTTTCCCCCAATGCAATTTCGACGAGTAAATCTAAAACCGGAGACCGGTGACGTTTAGACCTTTCCCTCTCTCCCTCTAACAACAGTGGACCTAACTTCAAATTTTCAAAGTGGGAAAATTCATAATTCCCGGAAAGACGAGAAGTGTCATGAATACGTCTCTTTTCAACTTGGCATTAAGAACCAGAGGGTAACTGAATGGTATCTCATTGCAAGAGGTTCATAGCTAAAGTATTAATAATCTGGAATAGGATGAACGCGATTGTAAAACAGCTTTGCTCGATATCAAAACCAGATTAAGTTATTTGAGTATAATTAATCCATTATTGGATTTTAAATGGGAAAAATTTAGACAGCAGTATAACTAATGAGTTAATAGGCGCCCTGCAAACTCAAATACGTTCAATTTATTCCATCTTAACAAACAGATAAAAAGTATACTTAGTAGAAATGAAAAACATAATTTAATGGGATGTAACTGTGACATAGAGTTTAATGATCATATTTACCATTGTAATATTAATTTCAACCGTAAAATAGAAAATTTATATCGGAAGTTCCATCGTCGTGCATAAAAGGAACCTTGTGTGCCATCCATTCTTAATTACGTATTTTTTCTCAGAGGCTCATGCTTGTGGGAAAATACAGCATTATCTCGACTCCCCCCCCCTCCTTACATCCCACCCTGAGAAATTACCCCTAGCGCTGCTAATGTTAGCTTCTTAATTAATTGTACCGACTTTCCTTCCCTTGCTCTCTGCAACTATTATTCACATATAATCTGCGTGTGTGTATTTCATTCAAAGGTGAGTAAAAATAAATCCTCCTTCTGGGCTAGGTGTTATTTCTTCCCTTCGACTAGAAGATGTGTGGCAATGGTATAAAAGATGGATGTATGAGAGACCAATTGGCATAGACAACTTCATTTAATTTGCATACAGTGTAGTGTGAATGCGGCGGTTATGTTTGTTTATTCAAAAAGATGGGTGGCCACGCCCAGTACTGAGCTTTTGGATAGCGAGTTCTAGCAAAATGAGCCGGAAGTAGGAAAATTGATTCTGAGCTTTTTTATCAATCTGGGTTTATTACATAAATAAAACAATATTAGTAGATCACGTGGCATTCTAAGCACCGAGTCTTAATTT